TTCATGTCATAGTAATGACAGATGTCGTATTTAAGCTACGAACTGGTGAAGTTCACAGCAAATAAACAATAAAAAACATAACGTGTTGTTTGTCGAGTTTCACAAAGAGCAATATCAACAGATCAACGTGTGTCTGTGACGGAAGATAATGAAATACAACATTTATTAAAGGTGTTGATAATGAGTTCCCGTATGTATTCAACAATGCTGACTAACAATGCGTGATTATCATAAAACCGGTGTCAAAGTGCTTGTCATTCCGTATTACACAAGAAAATGATACAGTGAAGTAATGATAGTAAAATTAACCACAATATCCGGATGAAGATGCATTTAGTGAGAGTGAGAGCACAATGTGTTACCCTCTTTGGTGTTTTATTGTTGGTTCGTCTAGTTATTCAACCAAACCTTTACCAGTCTCCTTTTTCCATTCTTGATACTATTCACTTAGGTTCAACTTTTATTATCTATCTTTAAGATAGCAGGTGGTTTGCCGTAACCTGCATGCCACGCTTTAATTCGTTTGGATAGTGGCATGGTTCAGAATATACACATGTACTTGACGCCGTTGTAAAATTATCTGATATATATATATGTGTAATTTACGAAATCTATTTAATCATGGGGCTGCTGCACCTCCCCGTCTAGATTTCGATTTATCTTCCGATCACTTGTGATTTTCTTTAGTCGTCACACAGACGATTCCTAGAAGGACGAAACAGTTGTATGATGTAGCATTACTGACAAGTCCTAGTAGGACGAAACAGTTGTATGATGTAGCATCACTGACGAGTCCTAGAAGGATGAAACAGCTGTATGATGTACAATCACAGACGATTCCTAGGAGGACGAAACAGTTGTATGACGTAGCATCACTGACGAGTCCTAGAAGGACGAAACAGTTGTATGATGTAGCATTACTGACAAGTCCTAGTAGGACGAAACAGTTGTATGATGTAGCATCACTGACGAGTCCTAGAAGGATGAAACAGCTGTATGATGTACAATCACAGACGATTCCTAGGAGGACGAAACAGTTGTATGACGTAGCATCACTGACGAGTCCTAGAAGGACGAAACAGTTGTATGATGTAGCATTACTGACAAGTCCTAGTAGGACGAAACAGTTGTATGATGTAGCATCACTGACGAGTCCTAGAAGGATGAAACAGCTGTATGATGTACAATCACAGACGATTCCTAGGAGGACGAAACAGTTGTATGATGTAGCATCACTGACGAGTCCTAGAAGGATGAAACAGCTGTATGATGTACAATCACAGACGATTCCTAGGAGGACGAAACAGTTGTATGATGCAGTTTTCTTCATTCTTTGGCTCTTCTTTATCTAACTCTAAATTATCAAAATGTGCTATTCACTTGTGTATCTTGTGTACAATCATTATACGTAGTATTGCGCAGTAAGCGTTTTTGATGTTATTTGGATCTTAAGAACTCCCAATCTTGAATCGTCTCGTGAAAAAACTTCCATGTGTTACTATTCCCCAAACTGAAGAATAGCGATTATTCTCTGGTTATGGGAGCTCTGAAGGGCGTTTAAGTGTGTGAGCAATACTGCAGTATACATCATGAAAAATACGTCTACGGCTAAGTATTAATATATTGTGGAGGAACCAGTGACAATAACGTTTTTTTATTCGTCGTTGAGTTCGCTGGTAACATTTTACAACAGACTATTTTGGTATACCCATGTGACCAATATATCCCCCTCTCCTGCCTGACTCTTCTTCTTCTGGTATGAAGCTAATTTTATCGAAGAGCTTACCAAACGTCACAGAGAACTTAAGGTTCCCCCTCTCCTGCCTGACTCTTCTTCTTGTATGAAGCTAATTTTATCGAAGAGCTTACCAAACGTCACAGAGAACTTGAGGTTCCCCCTCTCCTGCCTGACTCTTCTTCTTCTGGTATGAAGCTTATTTTATCGAAGAGCTTACCAAACGTCACAGAGAACTTAAGGTTCATTTTGAGATATGTTGACGATGTTTTGTCTTAGAATGATCAAGAAATGTATAGACCATATACACCAGAATTGGAATTGTCGTGAATTTCCCATTTCTAGACAGTGACAATCCTGCTTCCCATGTCGAAAGTATTTAAATGTCTCAGTCGGTTCCATATTTAAGGGCTTTTACCAACATGACAGTTTCCTTGTAAAAACTTCAACAGCGGGCAAATCCACAAGGCACGGTTTCGGGAGGAGATTAAGTTGAGGAATACTATACGGATGTTTTGTGGTCGACACCAAGATCTCGTTGTGGGTACAGACTTCTGTTGCCTTTTGCGTTGTGTATAAACTGTAGGTTGAGGAAGCAGATTTATTGCTATCTAGAAATGGAAAATTTAACAATAGGGAAATTGTTATCATCACACTAATTCTACTAAAGATCGCGGAAAGCTGTTCCTATAGGTTATCACTGTCGTAGAGTCTGGTGGGTATATACGATAGACATGGTCCGTTAATTTCGTCTTATCTAAAGACAAGACATTATCAAGATACTTTGAAGAGAAATTAAAAAATTGATTGAAATGCATATATTGTATCTTTTATTGAATTCATATCTAAATGAACAGTTATGAGTACAATTAACCGTCGTCTCCAAGTAGGGCATATCTTGTACGACGATAATATATCACAGTCGCTGTTTGGAATTTATTACATTTTATGTGTTTCGTGGTAATAGGACATTGATTTCCATTTAATATCACGGGTTTAGGTGACTGACCATAAACTGATAAATAAATGGTTTATTGGTTCCGAAAAAATTTCCTTCAAATGGCTATTTGCAATGACATGTCATTGCTTACAACATTTGTCTTTCATGTGATTTTAGACAGAATGACTTACTAATTTCTACTTAACAGTGGCCTGATTTAACAGCAAGCGTTGTAGGGAGACAAAACAACAACTACTACAGATGATACTGTAGATAAAAGGTTTAGACAGAATTATCTCAATGTGTACAGGTATCAGGTGTAATGACAATAGATATGCACCAATATGATATACCAGGGGTTTGTGTGTATTACCACCTTTGTGTATGGACACATTATATAGAATGTTTACCAGGAGAAAGTTACACATCACTATCGTGTGAAGGACATACTCTCGCGAAACTGTTAATAACATAATTACAAATCAAAATTGCTGATTTGGATATAAATTCATTTCACCCAAGGTGCAAAAAGATTCGGACCACACATGGTTTGAGAGTATGAAAGACTGTTGTATGTTTCGGAGAAAAACTTCGGATATTTAACCACCGATATTTGTTTTCGCGTCTCCTGTTTAATTCCTGTCTGCCCCCTAACCCGGGAAGGCCCTAACAGCGGCCCTTTTGAAGCCCCTACGTACATTGTACTTTTGTATTGACAAATTATGCAATTCTTGATCAAATAAATCTCAGTTTATTATGATTCGTGGTACTTTAACTGCCATAACTCTATCGCTTGAACTGTAGATCAGTGGGTTAGTGAGAATGGGGTATTTATCATACCTACCTCGTTTATACAGCGATAGGAAACCATAGGATCGAAAATTATATACATAGGGAATGAGCGGTAGTGAAGGCCATTGTAAGACCATTCAAATAGAAACTGACCACTCCAAATACAAACTGACCACTCCAAATAGATACTGACCACTTCAAATAGATATTGAGGTTAACATATATAATGTATTTCATAAATGTCAACAGACGAGAACATCAAAGCAACCCGACATAACCTTACGTCCAAAATTCTCTACTTCTGCAATACATCTTCTTTTGTATTGGTATCGGAACGCTCACGAGCGGAGACAAAGTAATATATAGTGTAATCCCTTAAGAGCCCTGACAATCAGTTTACGGTTCCGACTTTCACTGAACGAAGGTGTAATAAAACACCTCAGATGGTCTGGGTGCCCAGGCGATCATTATCAGTTTAATTCATACAGGGCCTAGACTTCTCTGGGGTCCCATTTCACACTTGTTATTGGCTACAGATCATCTGAGGTCAACAAAATGTTGCTATCTGTTACGTAACGGTGTCTGCTCTCCGTAACAAAGCACGGACGCCTGGACTCTACAGATGTCAGGTCGTGAATCAAGCCCCTCATCCGTCACATCGCATGGGAATCACAACTATTGTGTTCTCGTTATATTTTAATAGTTCCCTCAACTTTTCTGTACAAAACATTAAATGATAAATGGGGGACTACATCACATTTGTTCTTGATACAAGAAAGTTTAAAGAAACAGGAAATGTTGTAGAAGGGAAGGAATGTCTTCAGTCGATCACTTCGTGTATTGGGGGGACCCCAGCTGGTGCCACCATGCGTTTTAGCCATTTGGGCAGTCAGAAAACGTTAAGACAAAGTCGTTGAGACAGGGCCTGATCTTTATTTCAGAAATATGTGTTCGTGGGGGACAATAGTATTGATGAACCAGTGACAGCCACCGACTTATCGATCGGGGACTGATATCAGTAACATCCATCCAAGGAAACCATGGGACAGTCCTTTACCTACAACCATTTATGTAAGATTGAAGCCTTTTGCCATTAAGCGTTTAATGTCTTGAGCATGTTTTGTGAGACAAATAATACCCCTCTAGAGATACATGTTTATTGCTCTCTCCCAGTGATAACTGCCATCTAAGATATTTCTCTTCTATCGATTGCACAGTGTCCACGTACTGTGTGCTGGCATTTGTACAATAATTGGTGGACTGGTGACACCATCCTGTGCTCCGTACTGGTGACATACTGGCCCTTTCACTGCCTACTCGAGTGGAAAGGTATTAGCTAGTAATGTGTACTGCCTGCCCAGGTATATAGCTTGGTGTCATACTCCAACCTAACGGTGAATGAGTGTACACATATATAGGAAAGCGGTTGTCAGTTTGTAAACACTCTTACCTGGAATTTGTGAGACACCGGTATGGCAAATTACCTGTACAAATCGAAGATATATCGTTTCTAATCAGTGTTTTTTTTCAAACATGGGTTTTCATGTTGAGAAATTTGTAAGTAAAATATCGGAGGACAAGAAGTGTGGTCTGTGTCAACGTGTATTGGATAACCCAGTAAGTACCCCTTGTGGTCATAAGTTCTGTACAGGGTGCATCTTACCCTGGCTTATGAAGCATGGGAAGTGTCCTGAAAAATGTCGAGGCCTCTCTCCCGAGCAATTAGAAAGTGTCCTCCCTTTACGTGAATCTATTCTAAACATGGAAGTACACTGTGAATTCCGAGAACGTGGATGTACCCATGTAATGAAGCTCTGCGAGGCTGAAGGCCATAGTCAGGAGTGCGACTTCCGACCAACCCTTTGTGGTCTTGACAGCTGCGATGCTATTCTGTCACTGAAGGAACTGTCTCGGCACCAGACACAGGACTGCCCCTATAGGCCCGTGGGTGTCTGCCAGCAAGGCTGTGGACTTATCTTGCAACACAATAGTTCCGACAAGCACAAATGCTTGCTGGCTCTAAGAGCACATATCGCAACCCAAGACAATCAAATAAATTCTCTGGAATTGGAAATGAAGCGAGTTCTTTCAAAGTTTTCGAAGCGTGAAAAGTCGCTACTTTTGACGATTTCGAACCTGCAGCAGGAACTACAATACCAGGCTGCAGAATTCCAACGCCTTCTCCACGACTGGAGTCTGCAATATAACCAGGTAAGTCTTACAGATATTGAGAATTATAGGGAATCCTTTCCTTATGTACAACGTTCAGTAATACTGTCTGAATGATACCCAAGATGGACCATTTACCTGTTGGAATGGTGTGCCTTTTCCCTGTTTATTGCTGGTTACAATCAGTGTTTTGAACTTATTTATAACAAATCTTCATTTATCAAACATCACTTTTTCGTCAAATTCAGAAAAGAACCTCTTTAAGATGTTTCTATTTTTAAATAAACTGGCACCAGTTCCACTGATACGATGTAGCCAATTAATTTTTTATTATCATTTTTTCGTTCATTTGATTATGTTTATAATTTTCTAACTTTGTTTGTTTGTTTTCGTTTATTTATTTAATTTTTTGCTTTTTTCAAAACTAACATTTTATTTGTTCGAACATGAATACACTTTTATCTAAGTTAGCTGTATACGTAGATTAAGAAGAAGTTAAGTCAACAATCTGCCGTGTGATAGTACTTCTTTGTAACGTGTATATCATATCTCTACAGTGTTTCATCTTCTTCATAACGATAAACTTCAGACAAATGAAGCTAAGAAAACAACAGTCCGCCTTCTATCGCCAGATTTTATATACGTTGGGAAGTTGCTGATGCAAATTGTGTTTTTTCGGAACATGTTTCAAATTACAATGTGTGTTGTATTCTCCACTATTGTCCCCTATCAACCATATTCTTGACCTCAGTTTAGTTTCACATCTGCTAAATCCTTTTTACGAATCTTTCTTTTCTCAGCTGTAGAAGGTCAGTAGTACCCTTACTGACCACAGGTGACGGATAATGTCTAATACTGAAGTGACTACCTGTTGTGTGTCGGTCAGATCAAAGGTTCAGTCCCCCTCGGTAATTTCTGGGGACTGTTCTTTTTGTTTAGAAAAGATATTCAAAGTTACAATTAGTCGTTTTTCTGTTCGTTTGACTTCATAATTCTACAGTTGCAGCTGTATTATTCATATGCAGTTTGCGTGTGAGGTTTGTTGTCTGCCTGACATTTCGACCCCGACTTGTCGTGTGTGATTGCCATGAGTTCAAAGCGATCAGCATTGACACTCTGTTTTAATAAGTAACTTTCTAACATTATCCGAGCACTCATTGACCCGAGACATCAAAGGAGAATCAGTTTCCGTTTTGATACTGTCGTGTCTTTCTTTACGCTATAAAGTATAGATGAAGTTTGCTATCTGTCCTGGTTCCCGTATGTCATACTACCTAGTTTAAAAGTTAACTGATAATTTGATGACCCGATTTTAAAACTACAAGATAATTTAACGAGATAACCATTTCAAACAAAACAGAAAATCACATAATCTTTCTCGTGTTTGTTTAACCTTGTCTAGGTTTCAATACAGATTATACATGTAGTGGTGTCATTCGAGCAAATTGATAAGTTAAATGCATGAGAAACAGTGAATGACAGACTGTGTGTGATTGTTCACTCCTTCGGTGTACACTATAATTAATAACACGCCTGTCTAAGTCCACTCTAGGCTTCAGTACTGTAATCTCAACATGTGAAATAAGATCGTAGATTTTTTTTACAATCTTCTTACAATCAAGAGATGGCAAGAAAAATGAACTGTTTATATTCGTGTACAAAGTTATTATAAACGAATAAATGTATAAATGGATTATAGATGTCAACTCCTTTAATACTGCACATCTGCTGAAAATCACGTAAGAAATCGCATATGAAATAATATATCAAGCTGAAAGCTTTGATGTGTTTCTAAATAATCTTAATCTTATGTACAAAAGATTTTTATATTGATCGTAAATACGGTATATCAATTTATCAATCTGTGGTTGCAGCTCTGTTAAATACCGCTTCTTTGTATCTAGTGCTTTTTCCTTGTACTTAAAAACGAATTCAGACTTTCTACGTGTTAATCAGAAATCTATATAACAGATCTGGGTATTCTATTTATCATGGTATTGGTCGCGGCAAGCGTCGCTGTGAGAAAATCTGTGTGAAAAAGAATTACGTGTGCAACAGATGTTTGTGAGATCAAAAAGAATGGTTCTTACGATTTCCTTGGATTTAAACTATAAAATAGTTCTTTAGAATTAATCTACATAAACACTATTTGTCTTGTAAAACTAGGTCAGGGCGACAACTGGACCTATTGTAGAAGGAAAGTGATGTGTTTTTCTTTACACACGTGTCGTTACAACTATTCTGAGAAAAAGACGATGACGACGACAACGACGAAGACGATGATGATATCATGGCGTCTTTATGCATAATATATTTCATATAATAAATGCACGAATATGGCAACCCTTTCATCTCCTTCGACGAAAATACAAACATATTTTCCATAGCCTTTTCTGTATTATGTCATTTTAAAAGCTACACTGTTACGTAACCAAGAGTAGTTTAATTAAGCCCGAGGGCTTTACGTGATAAGGTCATATCCATTGTGATAGGTAAGAATCTTTTACGTCGGATGATTAAATACATCAGACCTAGTCATAATCATTAAGATAAGTAGTTAGGAAGAAACACACTGCCTTGTCCACCCTCTAAAGGATTACATACAGTCCACTTTGCATTGTTCTTCAGTGTGTGTCTTTTAGTCAGCAATTGTGACCGAAGGTATCCTCACACACTGACCATACATGTGACCCATGGATGGGGCTAGGTGCAGATTCTCTCAGATTTACACGGGGTGATGAGCTACGATTTACAAAGAAAAAATATATCTGCATAAAAATGCATAAGGGTATCAAAATAATCTGTATATACTTCAGATATGCGCGAATTACACAGGGGTGGCAAGATATACTGTTCAAAGCACGTGTACTACAGGTATGCTCAAATTACATAGGAATGTCTTGGACACGCTGTTCAAAGTAGTTCAGATCGCATATTACGTATTATATACATATAAGATACGTTGTGCATCGTTGTTTATATAGGCGCGCGTGACCGGGTTGATGATTGTTGTAAATTAACGGATGCTGTTAAGACCCTGTAATTCTATTTATGCATTTTTGAAAGATTGACGAGGTACACTCAGTATTAGTCAACCTGGTGATCTGGCTGAGTGTTATGATTCAGACTGACCCGTGAAGTCATTGTAGTAAGAATCACTGGGACAGAAGTCAGTGATGAGTGTTCCGTCTCACCTAAACTGTCGAATGATGTACTGTATGGTCTAGGGTTAGACGGCTTCTTTCTCCTTCATTAACGTTTAAAGGAAACGTAAATCAATAATTATCGAAACCATGTCACCACCTAAAACGATCGCATATTCCTTTGACAATTTGGTAATTTGCTGGGCGCGATCTTCGAACTGTCTGCAGCGGCTGTAATCTGTGCGGCGGCGTCATTAGGCGGGCAGAGGTTTCCGAACGGCAGTGTCTGGTAAGCTTTATACCGAACTTAGGGACATTCGGATGCATCAGCTCGTTTTTCATTTTCCCCGCATATTCTCGAAAATTACACATGTTTTTACTCAAAATCGTCCTTCGAGAACCAGAGGGTTGTAAACAGTATGATTCAGTAAAGGATGTTTGAAGATCCTATAAAGTTAATTTTGACTCGTTGTCGATATTAAGCTCATTCGATGACAAAATTAACTCTCAGCACTTGTAAGAACACTGTGGACAATCTATCTCCGGTAATCAAATTCAAGACTTGAAGTTCTAAGACCATATCGAAAGGTCGGAAGCCAAACTGGTTGTATAATGTTAGCACAAAGAATTAAAAAAAAGCGAATTCCAGATTGAAAAAGACAGGACATTAAAGTTCTATCGATCTGCGTTAATTCATTTTCTCTTCTGACACCGTTAACATGACACAAGAACTTTGGGAGAACAATACTGTTGGCTGATTCCGTCTATTATAAGTTATTTAAACTTAATAAGATCGTAATAAATTGGCACTGTTCTCCGTATTTGTGCCGACGGTCTAGCTTCAGGTCACACTCTCGTGTTTGGGGACAGAGACGAGTGGAAACGTCTGCTAACCCTAAAACAATAACCACTGGGGTGTCTGGGTCACGGGGATAACTATGGAGGAGGTCGGGAAGCCTTTAATACCTCTCCGTGTGTGCAGTTTCCAAAGAGCTTCCTTCCGCTCCTTGTCTATCACAGCCTGCAACGTCTCTACTCCCCCTTTTCAGCGCCACTGTTTGGCTCGACAATTCAGACTTGAAACATGAGAGGGTTTGACTTTATTCTGAAGATGACAATGACAGTTAATTTGCTCTTCTTTATCCTGTCACTTTTGGTGACAGACCTTTTGTGATCCAAAATGGCGATAAATTCAAACTGCTATGTGAGGAAATATATGATTTGAGAATAGTGAAAGCATCACAGGTGTCATGATACTGAAGACAGGATAAGCTTGTGTAGACTCGTCGATACTGCAATGGCAGATGTTCAAAGTTTTGATAAATATGTCCCACGGAATAAAATTAAACTAATTATACTTAATAATGGACCAAGTCAACTAATCATTGAAGTAGTTTTATTTACATCTTAAATACATCGTAGTCCTGATGTGCCCACCTTTCAACGGACAACTGCAGTGTTGGTATTCTACAAACCCGGTATTCTAATCTCATAAACACTGGTGACGAGTTCCGGTGTGCCGACAGTCTATAAGGACTTTGTCAAAGTCCCTTGAAAGGTGGTAATGCAAATCTGTTTAGTTACAAAGAGGTAAAAGGATGGTCCCAAAGGTTTCCTTGTATACAAATATATCTACGTTGGTGGCTTGATTAAGTCTAAACCACAACGTCACTCAAAGTATGTTTGGAACAAAAGTATTTATAAAACCTGATTAAAAATAAATTCATTCAACAGAATTTAACAATTGGATTTAGGAGTTGTATTACTTATAGTTCATATTTCGGCCTATCCCTGGCGCTAGGTTTTACACACATACCGATATGAGGTCAAAAGTCGTACCCGTTAAGCTAACTTATTAGTATTATCACTAGTCAATATCTCTACCTTTCACTACTTATTGTTAGGTACTGTAACGGAGACTCGTGTCGAGTTTCAAGCTAAAGTTTATCAGGCTGGTTAAGCATTCTCTCATAACTATTCAAGGAACATACCGAAAATGTCTTTTTTAAAAATAGGATTTCCTTCAAATCTGTTTTTGTCTGTATGGTGTCGATTTGTTGTCCTGGGGATAAACTCGGAACATTTCAGTTTAGTCATACTTTCAGGTGATTTCAAATGATGAGTTAGTTACAAGATTTAAACGAGGTTTTCACTGCAAGCTAACAAATCAGTTACTGGATGGTCGAACTGCTAGGGAAGGTAATAAGAAACAATAAGGGACCTCTTATGGCGGCGAGAAAGATACATCAATAGCTCGGAGTGGTGTTCACAAGGACTCGCCTCGTAAAGGGTGGAAAAGCTTTGTGTGGAGGACATAAAGAGGTAGACTGGAAAGGCGAGGCTGAGAGGGAGTTAGCCTGTTACCCACCTGTAGTACAAACGGCTAATAGATGTAACGGGAAAAAGAGATTAACCTTTCAAATCAAACCCAAACTCACGGTAACGTCTTTCTGTGGCGTTATCCCAGATTGTACACAATCTTTTTAACATGATTGTATCTCTCTTGTATCTCGTCATTTGTCATACTGTGAACGTTACCCAGTGGAGAGCGATCGTTTATCATAGACCCTGGAACCGTACCTTATAGCGTCGGCCTGATGACCCGGGTAGAACACAGAAACACGGGTAGGAACACGGGTAGCGTGTGAATAATGACAAATATATTATTGATGTTTCTCTTTGATATGTCAGCCAAACTTCACATCCAAGGTCGAATGTGTTCAGTCGGTCATCACCTTAATACTCTGTCTAGTGAATTAGGACATCACCTGTCCGAACACTAGATGCTACAATAGTCTTTCCATTCACATAATACTCACATGCATACTCACATCTCCCGGTGATGTTTTCTGTGGAAATCCCTATATTGTTTATATATCTGATAGTAGAAAGTTTGGTCTCCTTCGATAGAGTTCCCGTACATCTCCCGGTGATGTCTTCTGTAGAAGTCCCTATATTGTTTATATATCTGATAGTAGAAAGTTTGGTCTCCTTCGATAGAGTTCCCGTACATCTCCCGGTGATGTCTTCTATAGAAGTCCCTATATTGTTTATATATCTGATAGTAGAAAGTTTGGTCTCCTTCGATAGAGTTCCCGTACATGATAAACCTCTACAATAGAACTAAGGACTGATATACAATTAGCTAGAACATTGCTACAGGATCTTCGAAACACCTACTAGATTTAAAGATCGAAACGCAACACAGTAAGCCAACCATTTTCATTAAAATTCTTGTTATTAAAAATTTGCAAAGTCGATTTTGTTGAAACTTGTTCTACGTTGAAAAAGACGCATGTGAAAGTGATTATATTGCGATGAGTATGCTGGTGTGTGGTCTGTGAGACAATCAAACCTCCATAATTATATCCAGAACAGATATGAAAAATTGTGTTTAGATGTGGAGACTCGACGAGTGCAGTCTGCCGTGCACCATTTCCGAAGTGATTACTGATCCTCGAGATTCAAGCATACACATCACGTATGGAAGAAATCAATCTAAGTGACGGATAGAACATAGGAGGTACCCTATGTGGACCGGGTGGGCTGTGGTTTGGGGGCCGTGGTTCCTTACAACAGTCATGCGGCATGGTGTAAGGCTAACTGTGGCACGTCACGAACACCCTAGATACCACACGGGCGACTGGCAGGAAATGTCGTACGCAGGGATGAAACATGGAATTCTCTCACGAGACAATGCTGAATACGAGAAGACAGGAACTACTCAGTAACGTTATTGTCGGTTCTCAAAAATTAAAAAAAAGAAAAACGTACCTTCTGAAATCTCACCGATTCATTTACTTTTCTTTTCGTAATTATACGAGGAACTCAATACACTGGACTTGTTGGATCTGCACCAGCCGCGTTAAATTTGTATAAACACGTGTGTTTCTTGATAATGCATGTCGATGTCTTGTACGTAAAGGCAGAGTGCTTCATGTAACAATGAAGTTTGTTTGTGTAATAACAATATATTTAACATGTTTCTGACCGAGGTTAACAAGTCACTAACATATTTGTCAGTAGCTTGTTAACCTCGGGTCAGAAACATGTTAGTGGCATGTTAACCTCGGGTCAGAAATATGTTAGTGGCATGTTAACCTCGGGTCAGAAATATGTTAGTGGCATGTTAACCTCGGGTCAGAAATATATTAGTGGCATGTTAACATCGGGTCAGAGATATGTTAGTGGCTTGTTAACCTCGGGTTAGAAATATGTTAGTGGCATGTTAACCTCGGGTCAGAAATATGTTAGTGGCTTGTAAACCTCGGATCAGAAATATGTTAGTGGCTTGTTAGGGTTAGAAACATGTAAGTGGTTTGTTAAGGTCAGAAATGTGTAAGTAGGTAACAAATATATGGCTAACACGTTGTGTATCACTCAGATGACGGAACATGATTTTTCTCCCCCGAGTGGTTTTACTGTTATTTTACATTAACTACATCGTAATGGCACAAGTTCAGCTATAAGACCAGTGCCGTCAGTATACAATTGTATATATAGATGTATCAGATTTACGTTCACTTAATCATGAATGTTAAAATTGTTCATGACATAAATTCACATTAATAATTGAGCATTTTCTGTATCGTCCGTACCGATAATGTCCTTGAAACATACATATCTGACAATCTGGCAAAAGTTCTGGGCCGGTATAGGTAGGTTCCCACAGACAGAAAAGGGAACAATGCAAAGATGTTATAAGCAGGTACATGCAGGTTTAGTATCTCAGAGATGTTATAACTATCGTACACGTTTTATCGTTTTTAAAACTTGGATGACAAATTGCACGGATAAACTTTCTATCACAACGTTAGAAAATTAGCTACATATAAATGGACTGAGACACAATGATAGTTTGAGGATAGCGTTACAATTCTTACTTATACCACTGGGTCGTGTACAGGGCACTCCGTCTACACCATTAGCGTGTAGAATCCCGGGGAAAGGGGACAATAGCTGTTCGATGTTCGAGGTATTCACAAAGTGCAACGCAATTGATATGTAGATAAAATAAATTGCTGTGTCAGTATCGATATCGCCCAGATACACCAAGCCATCCTATCTGATTTGATAACCTATCTGTACATTAATTGTGTTAGACGGGTACTTTCGGAGAAGGAGGCGACAAGGCTTCAGGACGTCACAATGTGTTTCATTTTTTTGATGAATTACCGCCCATACATAGAGCATCACAAATGATTTCAGCGCCAAATAACAGAGTACATTGTACAAGCGTCAAATTCCAGAGTACAATGTACAAGCGTCAAATTCCAGAGTACATTGTACAAGCGTCAAATTTCAGATTACATTGTACAAACGTCAAATTCCAGATTACAATGTACAAGCATCAAATTCCAGAGTACATTGTACAAGCGTCAAATTTCAGAGTACAATGTACAAGCGTCAAATTCCAGAGTACAATGTACAAGCGTCAAATTCCAGAGTACAATGTACAAGCGTCAAATTCCAGAGTACATTGTGCAAGCGTCAAATTCCAGAGTACAATGTACACGCGTCAAATTCCAGAGTACATTGTGCAAGCGATGTAGCATTTTCAATAAATTGTAAAACGGTGCATTATAAGACCTTGTCAGTATTTACTGTAGGAAACAAAATCGTTTAAGATGATATTGATATAAATATTATTTCATTTATCCATGAACATAAAACGAACGATTTAGCTGCCAATGTGCTTGCGTTTCCCGGTATTTTAGGGATTCACGTATTTCAAGCATTAAAATGCTTTTTTTTGTGGGGCTGATAAAATACGATAAAAACTGCTATATTTCTTTTTAATGGTACCTATTAAGATTTTGAAAATACTGTTCTGGACTCACCAGAATTGATAATAAAAACATTAGGTAAGTGTTTAGCAGTAAAAGTACCTATAATAATAAGATAAGTTTATCCATTAAATAAATCACATCTGACTGTATCATCGGTTACGTGGCAGTCGCAGAATTTAATGATCGACACCTCATCAAATTCAAAACGTATGTACACCATACACTTTATAACAGTTTGGCGCCAAATGACGCCATGGATTCAGCTCAATATGTGCAAAAAGACGATCAGCTATTGTAACAAAAAGGCAAATTCTGATGATATGGAGGATTTTGTGTCCTTAACTAGAGAAATCACTTAAGTTTTGTCTGTAATATGATAAGTGTGTATTTATGGCTAGACACGCATGGACTATAACTTTAGGCAATGGTACAGCGTAATGGCGGGAAACAATAGCATGGACTGCTGGCTTGCACGTGACCACTTCTCGTGTGGACAATGTCACGTCCTGCTCGTGCTATCGATCTGGAGAAACTAACATCAAACAAGTCATGGCGACTCTTGTAGAATTGTGACTGGCCTAGTCTTACCACGTTGACAATGGTTGTAACCATCTGTCTTGTAATTCCTTCCTCAGGCAGACGTGTATTCCACTCCTCTCAAACTTACCCTCTGGAGACTCAACAACTCTCTTGGCTTTAACATCATGGGAGGATTTTCGGTGAGTACAACTATCTTATTCATAATTTCTTTTTTTTCTTCCTTAAATTCTTCAATGACTTTTTAATATTTTCTTGTTATAATTCAGCATCTACAGATATGCATGTCCATATTGGCGACACAATCGCTGGACATGGTTTTCACGCTTATGCACGACCTGCATGTCTGCACGTAGAGATTCTTAAAACAAACAAACCCATCGTGTTTTGCATTACTGCAGTTGCACATGGAACATGATGTAATATGGTGTCGGCTATCAGTCGCCCGTGCTTTAAGGAATTTGTAACATGGAATTTTAATTAGTTACATGACTTTAGTGGCATTCTTTTGTAAATGGGAACATTAGATCAAATTGAAAAAGATATCTTGGTGCTATTTTTGAGATTTGATCATACTGTGATTCTAAGAAATTAAATCTGGTTTATATGACAGTACAGCCTTTTAATTAGACGAACAGTTAAAAATTTTAATATTTTATATTACCTTGTTTTTTTTTAAAAAATAATTTTCGGTATCAATATGGTTATGGTATTCTGATATTACAGTCCTGACAATGTTACTACTACTTTTATCAGTGTTAATAGCCATTGTAATAAGATGAGAGGATATTCATTGTGATAACAATAGTCATTTCTGTGCACACAAATATTGTAACAGTTATATAAATTATTCATTTGTTATGCAAAATGAGGAAAATTATTGATTTTTTTTTTGTGCCCAGTTGTTAATGATGGCTCAATCTTGTGTGCTTCACAGAGTGAGATTATGACAGTAATTTCAGGACCTGACATCTTCAAAATGAACCCCTCCTCCCCCAGACAAATAATGAAAGGATGGCGCCTTATCAAACCGCAGTTGTAGAGAGAGACAGAGAGAGGAAGAAAAAGAGATAGATAGATAGAGAACACCTCACCAAACCTTTATTGTAGAGAGAGAACACCTCACCAAAGCTTTATTGTAGAGAGAGAGAGAACACCTCACCAAACCTTTATTGTAGAGAGAGAGAACACCTCACCAAACCTTTATTGTAGAGAGAACACCTCACCAAACCTTTATTGTAGAGAGAGAGAGAACACCTCACCAAACCTTTATTGTAGAGAGAGAGAGAGAACACCTCACCAAACCTTTATTGTAGAGAGAGAGAGAACACCTCACCAAACTTTTATTGTAGAGAGAGAGAGAACACCTCACCAAACCTTTATTGTAGAGAGAGAGAGAGAACACCTCACCAAACCTTTATTGTAGAGAGAGAGAGAACACCTCACCAAAGCTTTATTGTAGAGAGAGAGAACACCTCACCAAACCTTTATTGTAGAGAGAGAGAGAACACCTCACCAAACTTTTATTGTAGAGAGAACACCTCACCAAACCTTTATTGTAGAGAGAGAGAGAGAACACCTCACCAAACCTTTATTGTAGAGAGAGAGAGATCACCTCACCAAACCTTTATTGTAGAGAGAGAGAGAACACCTCACCAAACCTTTATTGTAGAGAGAGAGAACACCTCACCAAACTTTTATTGTAGAGAGAGAGAGAGAACACCTCACCAAACTTTTATTGTAGAGAGAGAGAGAACACCTCACCAAACCTTTATTGTAGAGAGAGAGAGAACACCTCACCAAACCTTTATTGTAGAGAGAGAGAAAACACCTCACCAAACCTTTATTGTAGAGAGAGAGAACACCTTACCAAACCTTTATTGTAGAGAGAGAGAGAACACCTCACCAAACCTTTATTGTAGAGAGAGAGAACACCTCACCAAACCTTTATTGTAGAGAGAGAGAACACCTCACCAAACTTTTATTGTAGAGAGAGAGAGAACACCTCACCAAACCTTTATTGTAGAGAGAGAGAGAACACCTCACCAAACCTTTATTGTAGAGAGAACACCTCACCAAACCTTTCTTGTAGAGAGAGAGAACACCTCACCAAACCTTTATTGTAGAGAGAGAACACCTCACCAAACCTTTATTGTAGAGAGAACACCTCACCAAACCTTTATTGTTGAGAGAGAGAACACCTTACCAAACCTTTATTGTAGAGAGAACACCTCACCAAACTTTTATTGTAGAGAGAACACCTCACCAAACCTTTATTGTAGAGAGAGAACACCTCGCCAAAGCTTTATTGTAGAGAGAGAACACCTCACCAAACCTTTATTGTAGAGAGAACACCTAACCAAATCTTTATTGTAGAGAGAGAACACCTTACCAAAGCTTTATTGTAGAGAGAGAACACCTCACCAAACCTTTATTGTAGAGAGAGAACACCTCACCAAAGCTTTATTGTAGAGAGAGAACACCTCACCAAAGCTTTATTGTAGAGAGAGAACACCTCACCAAACCTTTATTGTAGAGAGAACACCTAACCAAATCTTTATTGTAGAGAGAGAGAGAGAACACCTTACCAAAGCTTTATTGTAGAGAGAGAACTGAGACTTTTTATTGTAGAGAGAGAGAACACCTCACCAAACCTTTATTGTAGAGAGAGAGAACACCTCACCAAACCTTTATTGTAGAGAGAGAGAACACCTCACCAAACCTTTATTGTAGAGAGAGAGAGAACACCTCACCAAACTTTTATTGTAGAGAGAGAGAACACCTCACCAAACCTTTATTGTAGAGAGAGAGAACACCTCACCAAACCTTTATTGTAGAGAGAGAGAGAACACCTCACCAAACTTTTATTGTAGAGAGAGAGAGAACACCTCACCAAACCTTTATTGTAGAGAGAGAGAGAGAACACCTCACCAAACCTTTATTGTAGAGAGAACACCTCACCAAACCTTTCTTGTAGAGAGAGAGAACACCTCACCAAACCTTTATTGTAGAGAGAGAACACCTCACCAAACCTTTATTGTAGAGAGAGAGAGAACACCTTACCAAACCTTTATTGTAGAGAAAGAGAGAGAACACCTCACCAAACCTTTATTGTAGAGAGAGAGAAAACACCTCACCAAACCTTTATTGTAGAGAGAACACCTAACCAAATCTTTATTGTAGAGAGAGAACACCTTACCAAAGCTTTATTGTAGAGAGAGAACACCTCACCAAACCTTTATTGTAGAGAGAGAACACCTCACCAAAGCTTTATTGTAGAGAGAGAACACCTCACCAAAGCTTTATTGTAGAGAGAGAACACCTCACCAAACCTTTATTGTAGAGAGAACACCTAACCAAATCTTTATTGTAGAGAGAGAGAGAGAACACCTTACCAAAGCTTTATTGTAGAGAGAGAGAGAGAACACCTCACCGAACTTTTATTGTAGAGAGAGAGAACACCTCACCAAACCTTTATTGTAGAGAGAGAGAGAACACCTCACCAAACCTTTATTGTAGAGAGAACACCTCACCAAACCTTTATTGTAGAGAGAGAGAACACCTCACCAAACCTTTATTGTAGAGAGAGAACACCTCACCAAACCTTTATTGTAGAGAGAGAGAGAACACCTCACCAAACCTTTATTGTAGAGAGAGAGAACACCTTACCAAACCTTTATTGTAGAGAGAGAGAACACCTCACCAAACTTTTATTGTAGAGAGAGAGAGAGACTTTTATTGTAGAGAGAGAACACCTCACCAAACCTTTATTGTAGAGAGAACACCTAACCAAATATATATTGTAGAGAGAGAACACCTCACCAAACCTTTATTGTAGAGAGAGAACACCTCACCAAACTTTTATTGTAGAGAGAACACCTCACCAAACCTTTATTGTAGAGAGAGAGAACACCTCACCAAACCTTTATTGTAGAGAGAGAGAACACCTTACCAAACCTTTATTGTAGAGAGAGAGAACACCTCACCAAACTTTTATTGTTGAGAGAGACATGGGTGAAAGTATTCCGTATTGTGACGGAATTCCGTATTTTCACTTCCTATTTTGATTATTTCTATGAATCACCTAAATCAGGTGAGAAATTGGGGGGGGATGACGTCAGCATTTTCCCCATCTCGTTGGAGCCGAAAAATATGTCCGGATCCGGATGTTTTTTCTATTAGTTGGTAACTAAATCCTGGTCTCTTAGACGCTTACAATGGCTTAATCATAATTGATTACAAGCGCTTTTGGGACATCTACAAGAAAGTGTCGTTTTAGAGAACCATGTGCTTTCTAACGGTAAAAAATGACACCAAAAGTTTAGAAAAAGACTGTAAGAATAAGTGGAGGTGGGCATGGCTAGACGAAAAGAACAAACAAAGGGCATGGCGCGACTGGATAAAGAAACCAGATATTCCGGGCGTTGCTTATTGTATTGTGTGTGGGAAATCTATTAAATATGCGAGCAACGGTAAAAAAAGTATTCGACTTCACAGCGAAGATGTTGGTCACAGGAAAGCAGTAAAAGCATTGAAAACAAATACAACACTTCCAGGGGCATGTGAAACTATTACCAAACCATCTGTATTGGAAAACACTGCTGAATTGAGGTCGGTAACACCTGCTTTTATATGCGAACATACCTCGCCATTTTCGATGGCCGAGCATTTGATTGCCTATGCAAAACGAATGGGTGAAGATAAAGCTGCCCTCGATGAAGTTTCCTTGACAAGGACGAGTATGACATATATAACAACACACGGTGTTGCCAAATGCTTCAAAGAGGAATTAAAGGAAGCAGTTTCAGGGAAGTTTTTCTCTCTAAACTTGGACGAGGCGACAAATAATGCCATGGATAAGGTTGTAAATATATTGATACAATACTTCGATGAATCGTCGGCAAAATTGTCATTGAACACCTGGCATCAAAAAAGCAAAATTTATCAACTTCAAAAAACATCTTTGAAGATGTAAGTGATGTGTTAAAGGCATATAACTTTGAATGGATGCAAGTGATTAGTTGTCTTATGGACAACTGTAATACTATGAGGGGTGCTAAAGGCAGTGTGGAAACACTCATCAGGGAAAAGAGACAGAAAATGAGACAGCTTGTGATGAGGTTGGAAAAGAAAAGGAACAAAAAAAAGTGACAAGTTTTTTTAACTAAAATCACACTATGGA